CTCTCTCTCACTCTCTTATCCCCCCCCTCCTTCACTTTCACAGGATTCCCAAAAACAATTCTAGATCCCTACACCTACTGTGTAAATATGTGACTGCATATCTGTAAACTACATAAGTAACTATACAGCTATACAGATAGCAACAATAAAATGTATCTTGCAACATCTGTAATGAATACCAACTAGGAAACCATGGCTGTGAGGGTCTCATACCACTGCAGAACTCTTACAATTTTTAACAGGATGAAGACTGCATTTTTGTATGAATATTGAAGGTTACAAATTCTGAGTGGAATACGGCAGGTGTAGAAGAATTAATGACAGAAAAGATTTTGAGAAAATATTTCCCAAGGGTGATCTACTTCAACTATACCAAGTTCAAGGTAATAAATGAAAGATGTGCTTATGAGATTAAAGAATTTATCTCTACCTTCTTACTGTAACTACCTGTTTCTGTAGTTTCTTGAATTATAGCGCAGAGTCAAAAACTTCACTTTGGTCTGCTAACTGCTGCATGTGGTTTGCAACAAATCGACTGTCTGCATGTCCAGAAATAAAAAAAACAAGTTTGCCTAACTTTGCCACAAACATGACCTACCTTTCATATCAATACTTTTGTTGCGGTCAGTCCTACTCCTCCGAGATGCTATCGACATACGACTGTCACTGCGTTTGGCCAAGTGACGCATTGACTCCGCGATTCCCTCGCTGTCTTCCACTATCTCGGGCAGACCAGCCGTGCCTTTGGCCAGTAAACGTTTCTTGTTGTTCTTACCAGAGTCTGAGGCAGCTGACTGTGCCCGTGAAGAGCGGCCATCTTCCATTACACTAGCCGCCACCTGAAACAAGACAGTAATCTCATTAGTTTTGTTTATGTATGAGTTCAATAACCCAGCTAGACAGGGTTTCACATAGTGTTGTTTAAGCATCAAATTGTTCTTTAAAAAAGGACTCCTGGTCAACAGAAAGATCAACACCAGCTAGGCAGAAGACATAGCACATAAGAAAAGATATTTGCATCACTTCAAAGAAGTTGTGGTGTATAAATAACTTTACACAAGTAAAAGAGTTGCACCCGGTGTTGCTGGAATAGCTGACGACTGACATCTCCAGAACAAATACAGGTAAACAAGCTCATGAGAAGACGATTAATGTTTTATAAAAAGAAACCCACAGTACTGCATGCAATGTTTTATTCCTAGATCAAACAAATTTATATCTACTAATACTTCATGAACCGGATAAAATAAATAAAACATGTGTAAAGACTACTCTTCCATTTACAAGATCACAAAATGAATGGGAAACTAATAGAACATGTGAGAAAAATCTGGTGCACATTGGTATAGAAATTAAAAGAATAAAAGCACTCTGAGGTTTATATTTAGTCAAAACTACATTCTGAGAAAACGGACACAAATTCGGACAATGCTTCTTAGCAAAATTTCATCTTCAAAACAAAAATATTGAAAGCATAAAAAGTAACTGATTTTGAGCTTGACTTTGATTTCTCAAGGAGAAAAATAATCAAGTTAGCAACATCAATTCAAACTGGGTCAAACTCTAGATTGGGCCCAGTCAGCTATTTTGGGTCTCTGGCACATAGAAAAGATGAGCAACAAGTCAACCATTATATAAATACAGGTTGTACTTGCTGTTTTTGAAGCCCCAATCAATCTTTTATTCTGATAAAAATGTTCTTGGAACTAAAAAAAAAAGAAAAGACAAATCTACTCTTACCTTTTCCTGATCATCATCACTCTGGGCCTCGGTAAGGCGACGGAGGTACGCTTCCTTCATGGCCGTAGTCTGCCACTCTCGAGGGACCAGCTGGACATCAGCGGTCAGCTCGGTAAAGCTGGACATCATCTGGAATATATAAATTTTTCATGAATCATCAGAGGGTAAGATATTTTCCCGTGGTAAAGAATTATATATCAAACTGGTAATAAATCTTTCGTCTTAGAAATACAAAAATACCCCCAAAACATAGACTTCTGAACTTTAATACTGTTTCCCAGCCCAAAGCAAACTTTTACCTTCTCTATCAAATTACACATGTTATGTCCAGTTGTTAATTGCAATAGGAATGCTCCAGGACTGACAATAATGGATGAACTGGGAACTATATGTAAGCTATGCATGTTCCCCCATACCTGAAAGCCTCTACTCCAAGTCAACTCTGACATAAAATTTTTTGCATAAAACAAAACAAAATCTGCTTAGGAGTCCTCGCTGACCTGATACTCCAGAGACTTTGGAATGTGTCCAGCGATGTTGTCGTAGTAGTAGATGATGCGGCTGAGCTGCATGAGGATGGTCCCCGCACTGACTCGAGCCTCCTCAAATAGATAACGCTGGGAGTCCTCATCATTGGACAGGGAAGAATCTAGGCGGTTCTTTACTGCATTGAATGCCTATGAGGAAAACACAGAAAAAGGTTGGAAACATGAAAATCACTTATTGATTTTTAAAATAGTGATCAGAGGGAGAAAAGAATAAAAAGTAAGTGTATGGGTTTAACGCCCTTATCAATACAATTAGGTCATTTAAGAGGCGGGATCTCTGAATTTAATGTCAATCGCCGATGGGACAGAGCGAAATGGGTTGAGAGCCTTGAAAACTCCGCCAAAGAATCTGAGCTCAAGAAATACCCAGTCTTAGATTCAAACCATGGCCATCTACTCCGTCACCCAACATGATACCAACTGACCGAACGAAGCACCTTCCGGGGAAAAGGACCCATAATAATAAACACAATGATTTTCAGTGAAACTCTAAGAATTTTTTTTTCACGAAGTCAGATTTTATACAGAACAATGCATTTATTTCTACAAAAGTTGTTTATAAATGAAGTTAAACATTCCGAAACATTTAACCAAATAACTCTTATTTTGAAACAACATCAGTCCTTGAATCTTATTACTATAGATCTTTCAGGACAGAGACACTTTTCTCGTGGTCTGAAAGTGTATGAAGGAATATCTATGCAGTGAAAGAAATCTATTTAAAATGCTAAGCTTCAAAATTAAATCCAACACAACACAATCAATGGAAAGACAGAGAACACAGTAATTTCACAAAACAAATTTAACAGTTTCCGTACCTGACTAATCTCTGGCATTAAACTTTTCTTGCCGAGTCCATCACCAAACATGTCTTCCTCGTGTTTCTGCTTCTCCTTACTGGCAAGGTAAGCAGCAACCTGTAAAAGGATTCATTTCATTTGTACTTCTCCCAAATATTGTAACAACAGTAACTTTAAACTGAATAAACAGAAAATAAATTAATTGAAAATTGCGCTAGTCCTTTACGTCTACATCGAAACAATTTGAATCAAGTAGGTACAGAGTGTCTTCAACTCCCCCTGTCATAGCCCACTCAGGTAGGAATAAGGAGACACTTTATGTAATGTCTTCCCCACGAGGAAACTGAAATCTCATCTTTATCCTGCAAGGCAAATATTCAAACCATTTCACCATAGATGCCGGTTCAATTGAGTTAATAATCAAACAGTGTTGTGTTGATGAATTTAAATTGTCCGTAACTTCAAGGGAAAAAAGTGCAAGAACCACAATCCAGGTACAAAAATTCCCCAACTCCGATCTGACCGACTCACTAGTTACGAAGTCTTTTGCGCAACTGCATTCACAGTCCTACTGTCAGCCACTAGCCAGAGAGGCCTGAATCTCTCACACAGTAACCATGCCATATCTGATCAGCATAACAGCACCCACAAAGGAGTGTAAATGATTATACGCTCATATAATTCTCACATAAAATGTCTGCTACACCCAAGGCAATCATTATGACGGCCCTTGCTACACCATAAGAAACAGATATGCTATTATTCTCCCTATTGTCTGAAGATCTAAAATCACCCCCTTCTTTTTATAGCTGGGTGTCCAATAAAAATCAATGATAATCAGGGTGTTAGATTTACAGTGACCTTGACAAATAATAATAACAGTTGTTGCAAGGTAACTGGTTCCTGTACAAAGAGTGCACTCAAGCAAATCCTCCTTATGTTTGTCCTTGTATTCTCACTCAAATCTTGGCAAAATAATAAACATCATTATGCAGAAAAGTCATTGCATATTTGATGAGGAAATTAATCAACTGCTAAGATTGTGAAAACATGAGCTTAACTTCAAACTTGACACATAGTGATTATTTTAATAAAGCAGCAGACAAAAATAGGCCTGTGGTCACAAAAAAAGCAGGAAGAAAAAAAGGCAGAGACAATAATTATATGCGTTGTCATTCCACCATTAGAGGGACAGCACTTTCCATTCAAGAACAGCAGATCTATTTGCTTGCCCTTAATGCAATGTGTGTGTGTGTGTGGGGGGGGGGGATAGCATTGAGACAGCTTTTTTTGTGCACCGAGGAGAAGGAGCGTGTGTGAAAGAGTCGGTGGGGGTAATGGGGTACTTAGTATGCAAATGTGTAATTTCGCTGGGCTCCTATTCCTCATTATTTACTCTTTACCTTTTCTCATGCCAACAGAATATCAATCATCATGGCAAGTTGCTTAGCTACAATTTATCAACGAACAATTGACAACATAATAGCTTCACACCACATCTATCTAGCACTGTGAGCAAAACCATTTACCTTTGGAAGGGTTAATAAATAACGGTCGTAATGACTTGGTTTCAGAATAGGGGGCCTATACAGATTGTTAGCTCCAGTTGTGTTAATGCATGTTAACTAAGTCTTAGGATTTTTACACTGTTTAAGACAGTACAACTGTGGCTTTTCAAAATTCTCACATCTTCAATCAAATTATAAACGCCAGACAGGTGTATTTTTTATTATTTCGCCTTGGAAATAACTCCACAAATTACTAGATACAAAGCAGTCGTGGAAAAGACTGATCCCCAGCATTGTGTTATTTTGAATGTTTTTCTTTATGACCTCTTCATACTCTCAGGTGACAGATCAGCATGAAAGAAATTTGGACAGAAAATGCTGAAAGTGCAGAGAAAAGATGTCTCTCTGGTACCATGTTTGTTGTGCCGTATGAGGAGCATTCCCCCAATCTGAGAGTTTCATCCTCTATTTGTGAGACAGATTGCTATTTTTTCCCCAAACCCTCTTAAGATGATAAAGGTCTGCAAACACAAGTGAATTACATAATTTTGTTTTCAAATCAGTTAGCATAATCTCTTTCAACTTAAGATAAATGAGATTATCTGTTTCCATTACAGAGAAAGTCATTTATGCAATCATACATCATACGATACTTTTTCAAAAAGCAAAGACACACAAAAGGAATATGATCATCAAATAACAACAACCTCTGTTTGTTTTGGTAAGAGTCTCTATACAATTAGGTCATACAGATTAGTGGTGCTACAAGAGATTAACAAACACAAAAAAGGAAGAGAGATAAGGACAACAGATGTTTTATTGGAAAGAAGGAGCAAACTGCACCAGAGCACCTGCCAACCACCCACACCTGTGTGTTAAAAAGGCAGAAACATAAGGCAGCTTACCTTAGGATTCAGATGAGCAAACTTAAGGCTATCCGGGAGATCCTCAGGCATTTTCTTGAAACGCTTAGGGAAAGCCCTGAAGCGAGTTTGCTCATAAAAGAAGTGATTGGACTCCATGGTGATGCTTATAGAAATTGTAACTTTTTCTCAAATGCAGAATCTGTAAGTTTTTAGCCCCTTTTTTCCAGACTTGCTCTTCTCACAAAGAGCATTCAAAGAGGGAGCACCAAACCCTGCACCTACAATAAAAGCACATTCAATGTCATTACAAAAAATGATCATAACATAAACAGTTAGACAAACAATACTGCGCTGAGCAAAAAAACATGCAATAAGAAAAGTACAGGGATTAAAGTCAAGTATGTTAACATGTATAAAAAGTCTTCTCAGTTGTCCGTGACTCCAAAGCCCAGTTTTTTTAAAAGAAAAATGCAAAACAGAAACTTGCTTCAAAAACTTCTAGGATTATGTATTTAGAAAAATATGCTGGACAATTTTGTACCAGTGCTTTAACTGATATTTGTAAAGAGTATTTTGGATGCCATCCCGGAACAGATAAAAACGTACTTCGTTTGGTGCTTTCAGAGCAATTTTACCCCCTATATTCTTTGTATATAAGATGTGTCCCTCCTTCAAATAGCATCCAAAACGTTTTTGATAAGCCATTTACAAGCAAATAAAAAAGCAAATTTTTATGCTTTTCTCACTTTAATGTAATCTATCAGGGTGGCTTCTTTTTCATTGATCAAGTTGGGAATATATCCTCTTGCAAATGGAAAGTACAAAAAAAGAATAGTATATGATCTGGATCTCCACATTGGAAGATGACAAGCTGACAATGGTCTTGTAGAATTCATTTTCCACTTTTTAAACTTGAGGAACTCTACTAGAAAGAATCAACACTGAAATTTGATTTACCTCTATACAATTATAATAAACAAATTCAGAGGCACATATCGACTAATTCGCACTTGCGGCAGGCTTGTCAGTATCTTAATTAAAATAGACGAAAGATAAACATCCCTTTCTAAAATTAGTCCTTGATACTCTACCAGATTAATCATTCCATACCTATTGGCATGCATGACAAATAAATACCAACAAGGATGTACTGAAGAGCGCACATGCACACATACATACACACACACGCGCGTGCGCATGCACTCACACACGCACACACATAAAAACACATATACACACACATACAAACATATTCATATCAACACACAACTTTACATTATCCAAGTACAGTCGAAACTGTCCAAGACGGCCACCCATAGCAGAGGCGAAAGTGGTTAATTATTGTCTTTGACTGGTGAACGTCTTGGACAGTGTCAATAAAATGTATTAAAAAATGCAAGGGGAGAGTATGTGCCAATTAGTAGTTGTTTGTACAGTTGAGCAGTTGAGTGTCTTTGACAGGTGGCCAGAAGAAATACGACTGTACATATGGCAGTTGTAGCAAGGCTGGTTACTAAATTGGCCAGCACAATAGTGAATAGCAAATTGTTTAAGTTTTATTCTTTTTCCACTTTTACCTTCTTGGCCGCCTACTTTTTCAGTGAGTGAGAGCAAAATGTTCAAAGCCTTTATACTGTTGATTTTTAGGGTTCTAGATTTATCTTTTCCTGATTGATTTTATTGGTGAACGTCCAACGCTGTCTTTTTTTTTCAGCACTAACTAATTTGTTTTCTTTCCTTTCAATGAAACTCTCAAGCAGCCTCCTAAGAAAGTGTGTTCTGTCACCTCTTGTTTATTTTCAATATTTTTAGTAATTGTTCAGCTTTCACAGTCAATCAGGGTTGAGCATGCATTATATAGATGATAGATCTAGATCTAGTCTTTAAAACCATTACTGCTGTTTTCAAGGAATGTTTGTTGATTTTTGACTCATATTTTATTGAAAGTATCTTCAGCTGCTGCAATTGATCTTTGTTTAGTCCGAGTAGATGCTATCAGATGTAATTATATGAATTTTTTAACTTAATTGTTTGATCTTCACATCTTTGCTCATGAGATTACATGAGATGATTTCCTTACCTTCTAGTTGGACATTTAGATATTAATTTAAGTAACAACAACAAGGCTGCTCAAAAGTGGTGCACATAAACAACCCATCCCCTAATTTAAAGTCTTCATATTCGATGAAATAACCTAGCGTCTTATACATTTGGGATATTCAAGAAAAACAGGCCTACCAGACAACCTACTATAATAGTTTGAAGTTATAAAGATAGTAATGTCCACATATTATCTGTTGTTTTCAACAGAGCATGAACTAAACATAAATTTTGCATTGAGACTGGGCGTTCACAAACTGTACATTACATTTTTTGATGATATAAATCTATTCATATTTTCATTTGATGTTGTGCATAGAGTGCGTATACTGATCTACTATCAGCCAGAAGTGAACATTTGGCCATGCTAAGGTTTCCACATCTTAAATATTAATCAGAAGGTTACTGCATTTTCTTACACAGAAAATAACATATCGCTTGCTTACTCATGACGATTACACTTGAATTACTCTCAACCTTTCACGCCAGTCAGATCATTGTTCTCATCTTCTATTCACTACACCATCGCCGGTAGCAATCATCAGCTTACCTCAGCTCATCCTGCTATAGAACTGGGCTCGTAAAACATTGATGACACGAGAAGATTAATGGGGATTCGCCCTGACTGGCCTGACACTTATCCTGCTACTGGAAACACGGGCGACGAGCGCCATCTTGTTTCGCGACGCAGGTGCTTGACAACGCGCGAAAATCCCCACGCGCCTGCCTAGTGACGGCCTATCGCGAGTCGGGTGTGCATTACCGCTCTTTGCAGGGCGGTTCACTTGCCCGCTGGTGTAAATGAAACGCCTTTTCGGTCGACAAACAGGTCATGATCGGGCACTTCTGCCAATGTTGGTAAACAACTTCGATGAAAAGGCGCTAGCTGAATTGTTTCAAAGTCAGCGTTTTGAGATTTGAAAACTGAAAGGTCGTATCAAGTCCTCAATAAGAACCGCGACTGACATTTATAACGGCCAGTCAACCGCCAGATTGAGAGTGGTCACAATTGGACGTTTTCAATATAGGCCCTATTTCATAACCATTAATTTCTCAATTCACTCCATTCAATTCGTGAAAGCTTATTACCTATTTTCACGATGCTATATTTTTTATATTATCATCTTTAAAATTCGGCTGATGGAAACGCAAAAGACTCAGACACATGAATTACGATTCGACCTACATACGATCAAAACTATTAAAATATATATTATACATTTGTTATGTTAATTTCAGAGATAATGTCATGTTTAATACCTACTTAAGCTTGTTTTAATTTTTAAATTATTCTTTAAGCTGGACCGATTCGAATTAAATGCCTTGCACACTATTCTGGAATGACCTTGGGTATTAGATCTATTAAACTCTTGAAGAAATTAATAATAATATGTATTTTAAAATGATCTAAATCTTGCACCCCTAGGCCTAACACTACATGGCTCTGCACTCAACCTCTCGAAATCCCTCTCACGCACATACACACAAATGTTGCTGCACGCGCGCGCCGGCACACACACACGATACACACATACACACACACATACACACACACACACACACACACACACACACACACAAACGCACAACTATTTAATTGTTCAACTCAGCCTTTCTTTTGCTCCGGCCATGACTGTACGAGTGTAGCAACCCGCCTCCTAATATATCAAGCTTGTGTCGACGAGGGCGTGAAGCATTACACGGTCAACTGCAGTCA